GTTCCCGTAGTTTAATTCTAATAACAATGGCTTTTCGTGCCGTGGATCTTGGAGAGAAGCCAAGTGGGAATTTATGATGAATTTTGTATTATTTTTAAGTCTGTGTTTTGTCCTTGGAGGATTGGCGGTTGCGTCCAATCCCTCTCCTTATTATGGGGTAGTTGGTCTCGTGTTAGCTTCTATTGCCGGGTGTGGGTGACTGGTTAGTTTAGGGGTTTCTTTTGTCTCTTTGGTGCTTGTTATGGTTTATCTGGGAGGTATGTTGGTGGTTTTTGTTTATTCAGTGGCGTTGGCGGCGGATCCGTATCCAGAATCTTGAGGGGACTGACGGGTTGCTGTGTATGGGGTAGGACTAGGGTTAGTTGTTGTGGTAGGTATGGTTGTGATAGGTTTATTTGAGTTTACGTCGGGGGGTGATACAGTTAATAGTACTGGTATGATGTCGGTTCGGTTGGATTTTAGTGGGGTGGCTATGTTCTATTCTTGGGGGGCGGGCCTGTTTTTGGTTGCGGGTTGAGGGCTGTTGTTAACTTTATTTGTGGTGCTGGAGCTTGTGCGGGGGTTGTCTCGGGGGGCAATTCGGGCAGTTTAGGGGGGTCAGAAAGTAGTTTAATGAAAATCCCAGCTTTGGGAGTTGGTGATAGAGGTTCGATCCCTTTCTTTCTGAGGGTAACTCTAAGAAGAGGTGTAGTCTTCAATCTTTGGTTTACAAGACCAATGTTTTTATAAACTATTAGAGTATTAGAGGTTGAGCAGTTTGTTTTCTAGGATGCTTACTAGTGGGAATAGGATTAGGATGATGGTGAAGTAGGAAAGTGATGCCAGTTGTCCAATAATGATGAATGGGTGTTCAACTGGTTGGCTGCCAACTCAGGTTAGAATGAGGAGGTTGGCTACTAGGGCTCAAAACAGGATTTGTGATAGGGGACGGAAGGTTATTGAGCGTTGTTTAGATTTGTGTAGTAGGGGGATCAGGAATAGTACTAGGACGGAGGCAGCGAGGGCTAGTACTCCTCCTAGTTTGTTGGGAATGGATCGGAGGATGGCGTAGGCAAATAGGAAATATCATTCGGGTTTAATGTGGGGAGGTGTAGCCAGGGGATTGGCCGGTGTGAAGTTTTCTGGATCTCCCAGCAGATTGGGTGAGAAGAGGGCTAGGGAGGTGAGTAAGAGAAGTATGAGTGCAAATCCTAAGATGTCTTTTGTAGTGTGGTAGGGGTGGAATGGAATTTTGTCGCAATCTGAGGGGATTCCTAGTGGGTTGTTTGATCCTGACTCATGTAGGAATGTGAGGTGAACTAGGGTTAAACCTGCGATTACGAATGGTAAGAGGAAGTGTAGGGCGAAGAAGCGAGTTAGTGTGGGGTTGTCTACTGAGAACCCACCTCAGGCTCATTCTACTAGCGTTTGTCCAATGTAGGGGATGGCTGAGAATAGGTTAGTAATGACCGTGGCACCTCAGAATGACATTTGTCCTCAGGGGAGGACGTAGCCTACGAAAGCGGTGGCCATGAGGGTCAGGAGGAGGATAACTCCGATGTTTCAGGTTTCTTTGTTTAGATAAGAGCCGTAATAGAATCCACGGCCAATGTGGAGGTAGATACAAATGAAGAAGAATGAGGCTCCATTTGCATGTAGGTTGCGGATCAGTCAGCCGAATTGGACATTTCGGCATATGTGGGCTACTGAAGAGAAGGCTAGGGAGGTGTCTGCTGTATAATGGGTGGCTAATAGGAGGCCTGTGACAATTTGGGTGACCAGGCAGAGGCCTAGGAGGGAACCAAAGTTTCATCAGGTGGAAATGTTTGAAGGGGTTGGAAGGTCGATCAGAGAGTCGTTGATGATTTTTAGGAGGGGGTGGTTTTTACGTAGATTGGGAGTCATTAATTGTTTATGTATGTGGATATGAGGATGATGAGGATGGATAGAGCGAATGATCCAAGGTAAGCTTTAATAAGGCCGGTGTGAAGGGTGGTTGCTGCCTTGGATGCTTTTAGTTGTAGGGTGGCCAGTCCTTCTGGCCCTAGTATTTTGAATCAGGAAAGATCGATTAGGTGGGAGGCGATGTTTTGGCCCCCGCTTAGTGTTTTTGTAACGCTTAGACGGTGGGTTAGGGGGTTGAAGTAGCCTAGTGAGGTGGAAAAGTTTAGAAAATGGTTTTGTTTGGGCATGGTTAGGGTTTGGGCTATTTTTGATAGTTCTAGTGCTAGGATAATGCCTAGGGCTGTGACAATAAGGGCGGTGATTTTGATGTAAAGAGGTATGGTTATTGGGGGGGTTTTTGTGGGGAGAATATATGAGGTGATGAGGAATCCAGCTGTGATGCTTCCCAGTGCCAGGCGGGTAATTGGGGAGAGTACCGCTGGGTTGTTTTCGTTGATTGGGGCTAAGGGGGGGATACGAATGTATCCTGTTTGGACGAGGATAGTTATACGTAGGGTGTACACTGCGGTGAATGATGTAGCTAGGAGGGTAAGAATAAGAGCTCAGGTGTTTAGGTAGGATGTGTTGAGGTTTTCGATAATTGCGTCTTTTGAGTAGAATCCTGCTAAGAATGGGGTTCCTATGAGGGCTAGGTTGCCAATGGTAAGGCATGAAGTGGTTGTGGGTAGTATTTTTTGCAGGCCGCCTATTTTTCGGATGTCCTGTTCACCATTTAAGCTGTGGATGATGGATCCTGAGCACAGGAATAATATGGCTTTGAAGAATGCATGAGTTGAAATGTGTAAGAAGGCTAGTTGGGGAAGATTGAGTCCGATTGTAACTATTATTAAGCCTAGTTGGCTTGATGTGGAGAAGGCAATGATTTTTTTGATGTCGTTTTGGGTGAGTGCGCAGGTGGCTGCAAAGAGTGTTGATAGAGCTCCCAGGCAGAGGCAGAGAGTTAGAGCGGTTGGGTTAGTGTCAAATATTGGGTGAGTGCGGATTAGTAGGAAAATTCCTGCCACTACTATGGTGCTGGAGTGCAGTAAGGCCGATACTGGGGTGGGGCCTTCTATAGCGGCGGGTAGTCATGGATGGAGGCCAAATTGGGCGGATTTACCTGTTGCAGCTAGGATTAGGCCTAGAAGGGGGAGGGTAGGTGTTGGGGTGGGGGAGGAGATTTGTTGGATTTCTCAGGTGTTTGTGTAGGAGGCTAGTCATGCTATGCAGATGATTAGGCCAATATCTCCGACGCGGTTGTAGAGTACAGCCTGGAGGGCGGCTGTATTGGCTTCTGCTCGTCCGTGTCATCAGCTAATTAGGAGGAATGATATGATTCCAACTCCTTCTCATCCGATGAATAGGACAAATAGATTGTTAGCGATGATTAGGATGAGTATGGCGATTAAAAAAAGTAGGAGGAAGGAGAAGAATTTTATTATATGGGGGTCGGAGGCTATGTATCAGGAGGCGAATTGGAGGATAGATCAAGAGACGAATAGGGCGATTGGGAAGAATGTAAGTGAGTAGAAGTCCATTTTGAGGCTGATAGGGATTTTGAAGTTCATGATGAATTTTCATTCTCAGAGGGAGGTAATAGATTCTATACCTGAGTAGGCGTAGATAGTTATAGGAATCAGGCTGATGAAGAAGGAAGTTTTAATGGTGTTTGTGATAGTGGTTGAGGAGTTTTTTAGGTTGTTAGAGAGGAGAGGAAGGATGATAGGGGTGGAGAGGGTGGCTAGGGTGAGTAGTATGGATGTGTTGAGTGTTAGGGAGAGATCCATTACTTCCACTTGGATTTGCACCAAGATGGGTGGTTCCTAAGACCACTGGATTGCTGTTATCCTTTGGAAGTAAGGGGGCTGAGATTTTAGACTCAGATACAGGAATTAGCAGTTCTTGTTGGTTTAACCTCCCCTCGGCAGGTAAGAAGAGTTTAACTTCTATTCTTAGAATCACAGTCTAATGTTTTGTTTGAAACTATACTTGCATATAGGGACTCCAGAGATGAGCTCTGGTTTGAGAATAAGGAGGATTATAGGAATTATGTGAAGGGCTATGAGTAGATGCTCTCGTGTAGAGGAGTTTTGGATGGATGTCATGTAGGATGGGAGGGTGCCTCGCTGTGTTATTAGAAGTATGTAGAGGGTGTATGAGGCAGTTAGGATGATTGTGGTTCCTGTTAGGATAATGGTGAGGGAGGATCAGTTGAATAGGGCAATTATAATGGTTAGTTCTGCTATTAGGTTGATGGTTGGTGGAAGCGCTATGTTAGTTAGGTTTGCTAGGAGTCATCAGGTTGCCATGAGGGGTAGTAGGGGCTGAAGGCCTCGTGTGAGGAGAAGAATTCGGCTGTGGGTTCGTTCGTAGTTTGTATTGGCTAAGCAGAATAGTATGGAGGATGTGAGTCCATGGGCGATTATTAGGATTATTGCACCTGAGAAGGCTCATTGAGTTTGGATTATGGTTGCAGCGACAACTAGGCCTATATGGCTTACGGAGGAGTAAGCGATTAATGATTTTAGGTCAGTTTGCCGTAGGCAGATGGCACTTGTTATAACGGCTCCCCATAGGGCTAAGGTGATGAATGGGTAGTGTAGGTTGTTTAATGTGGGGTTTACTAGGATAGTGATTCGCATGATGCCGTATCCCCCTAGTTTTAGGAGAAGGGCTGCTAGGAGTATGGAGCCTGCGATTGGAGCCTCTACGTGGGCTTTGGGTAATCATAAGTGAAGGCCGTATAGAGGGGCTTTTACTATAAAGGCTAATAGAAGGGCTAGGCTTGATGCTAGGCCGGTTCAGGAGTTGGCTAGTGATGGGTGTGAGAGTTTTAGTATCGGTAGGTATAATGTGCCGATTTGGTTGTGAAGGTGTAGAATGGTGATGAGTAGGGGTAGTGAGCTGGCTAGGGTGTAGAATAGGAGGTAGATGCCTGCGTTTAAGCGCTCTGGTTGGTTTCCTCAGCGTGTGATTAGGATTAGGGTTGGGATTAGGGTGGCTTCAAATGCAATGTAGAATATTATGAGTTCTGAGGCTGAGAATGCCAGGATGATGAAGGGTTGGGCTAGTATAATTGTTGTGATGAAGATTCGTTTACGGATAATGGGTTCTTGTTCTAGGTGATTTTGGCTTGCTATGAGTATGAGGGGGAGTAGTCAGCAGGATAGAACAAGCAGGGGAGATGAGATTTGGTCGATAGAGGTTCAAAAGGTTAAGCCTTTGCTTGGGTAATATGTTGGGACGAGTCATTGGAGGCTAATGGAGGCAATTAGTAGGCTGTATGCTGTGGTGTTGGTTCAGAGATGTTTGGCTGGGGATAAGAAGGTGAGGGGGATTAATATAATGGTGGGGATGATGATTTTTAGCATTGTAGGAGGTTGAAGTTGTGGAGGTGGTCAGAGCCGTGGGTCCGAGTAGAGGCTACTAGAAGTGCTAGGCCAGTGCCTGCTTCGCAGGCAGAGAATGCTAGTATTAAAATGGGGACTATGCTGAAAGATGGTGTGTGGGTTTGGATTGGTCATATTGCTAGGGCTACATATATGGATAGTATTATGCTTTCTAGACATAGTAGGGCTGAGATGAGGTGTGTTCGGTGGAAGGCCAGGCCTAAGGCACTTAAGGTGAAGGCTGAGTAAAAGCTTAAGTGTAGGGAGGTCATAAGGAAAGTTATAGGGTGAGGACTATAATCTGTTGAGTCGAAATCAACTGTCTTGGTTAGACTAACTTTCCGTTATTCTGCTCATTCTAGTCCTCCTTGGGTTCATTCATAGACTAGTCCTAGGGTGAGGATGATGATGAGAGTAGAAGTTCAGGTGAAGGTGAGGATGGGGGATTGGAGTTGAATGGCTCAGGGGAGGGGTAGGAGGAGGGCAATCTCTAGGTCGAATAGAAGGAATAGGATGGCTACTAGGAAGAATCGAATTGAGAATGGTAGACGGGCAGATCCTAGTGGGTCGAATCCACATTCGTAGGGGGATAGTTTTTCCGAGTCGGGGTTTATTTGGGCTAGTCAAAAATTTAGTGTAGTTAGGACGATGCTTAGGGTTAATGAAAGGGTAAGTATGAATATGATTATGTTAATTACTCTTCTCTGGGTTTAAACCAGATTTTAAGGATTGGAAGTCGATTGTAATAAATATACTAGAAGAGTAGGATCCTCATCAGTAAATAGATACGTAGAGGAATAGTCATACAACGTCTACGAAATGTCAGTATCAGGCTGCTGCCTCAAAGCCAAAGTGGTGTTTTGGTGTAAAGTGGTATTTGATTAGGCGTAGAAGGCATACTAAGAGGAACGTTGAGCCAATGATGACATGGAGGCCATGGAACCCAGTGGCAACGAAGAAGGTGGAACCATAAACTCCGTCAGCAATGGAGAATGGGGCCTCGTAGTATTCTATGGCTTGAAGAGCGGTGAAGTAGAATCCTAGTAGGACTGTTAAGGTGAGGGCTTGGATTGCCTGTTTTCGGTTGGCTTCCGTGATGCTGTGATGGGCTCATGTGACAGTGACTCCTGAAGCTAGGAGAATGGCAGTATTTAGGAGGGGAACATCCATTGGGTTGAGGGGTTTAATCCCAACGGGGGGTCATTGGCCCCCTAGTTCTGGGGTAGGGGCTAGGCTGGAGTGGAAGAATGCTCAGAAGAATCCTAGGAAGAAGAATGCTTCTGATGTAATGAATAGGACTATTCCATATCGTAGGCCTTTTTGTACGGCAGGTGTATGGTGGCCTTGGAATGTGCTTTCTCGGATAATGTCTCGTCATCATTGAATTATCACTAGGGCGGTGGAGGTGAGGCCCATCAGGAGTAGGTATGGGGAGTGATAGTGGAATCACATGGTTAGTCCGGAGGTAGTCAGGAGGGCGGCGGCCGCTCCAAAGATTGGTCAGGGGCTAGGGTCTACTATATGGTAGGAGTGTGCTTGGTGTGTCATTGGGGGTTTAAATGTTTTCTTGTAGATAAAGGCTTAAAAGGAGGACAAAGACATAGGCTTGGATTATGGCTACTGCTACTTCCAGGATGGTAAGGAGGAATAATACTAGGAATGTTAGTAGGGAGACCAGTGGTATTGTGGAGAACAGGGCGGTTGTGGCTGTAGAGATCAGTTGGATAAGTAAGTGGCCTGCTGTTAGGTTGGCCGTTAGGCGTACTCCTAGAGCTAGGGGTCGGATTAGTAGGCTGGTTGTTTCGATTATGATTAGGGCTGGGATTAGGGGTGTTGGGGTACCTTCGGGTAGTAGGTGGCCTAGAGAGGCTGAAGGCTGGTTGCGCAGTCCTGTTAGGAGTGTGGCCAGTCATAGTGGGAAGGCTAGTGCTAGGTTCATTGACAGTTGTGTTGTGGGGGTGAATGTGTATGGTAGGAGGCCTAGGAGGTTAATTAGCAGGAGGAAGACTATTAGTGATGTTAAAATTAGCGCTCATTTGTGTCCTTTTTTGTCTAAGGGTATTATTAGTTGCTTTGTGATAAGGTTGACAAATCATAGTTGAAGGGTTGAAAGTCGGTTGGTGATTCATCGGTTGTCTATGGAGGGTAAGAGGAGGGCTGGGAATGTTATTGAGATTAAGATTAGGGGGATTCCTAATAGGGATGGGCTTGAAAATTGGTCGAAAAAGCTTAGGTTCATGGTCAGGTTCAGGGAGTAATGTCTGAGGTTACGGGTGTTTTGTTAGATGGCGGGTTTGTGGAGGTGAAAGATAGTAGTTTTGGTTGGATAATTAATGAGTAGGTTAGTCACGAGGATACTATAATAAAGAATCATGGGCTTGGGTTTAGTTGTGGCATATCATTAAGGAGGAGGGTGTGCTCCTCTTTCTCTAGCTTAAAAGGCTAGTGCTGGTCCATAGCTTCTTAATGATTAGGATGATAGAAGGGAAGATCAGTTTTCGAATTTAGCGAGTGGGACGGATTCTACTACGATTGGCATGAAGCTGTGGTTGGCTCCGCAGATTTCTGAGCATTGACCGTAGAAAACTCCTGGTCGGGTGGCAACGAACGAGGTTTGGTTTAGGCGCCCTGGAACAGCGTCGGTTTTAACTCCTAGGCTAGGAACGGCTCAGGAGTGGAGGACGTCGTCGGCGGTGACAATCACTCGTACTGGGGATTCTATGGGGACTACTGCACGGTGGTCTACTTCTAGGAGTCGGTAGTGGCCGAGTGGGAGGTCTGCTGTGGGTGTTATGTAGGAGTCAAATGTGAGGTCTTTGAAGTCCGAGTATTCGTAGGATCAGTATCATTGGTGGCCGATGGCTTTTAGGGTAAGGTCGGGTTCGTTGATTTCGTCTATCATGTAGAGGATTTGTAGGGAGGGGAGAGCTAATAGGATCAGGACAATAGCGGGTAGAATTGTTCATACGAGTTCAATCTCCTGTGCGTCAACAGTGCTTGAGGATAATTTTTCTGTGAGTATGACGGTTAAGAGATAAAGGACTAGGGTGCAGATAGCTAGGGCTACTATAAGGGCGTGGTCATGGAACTTTACGAGTTCTTCTATGATGGGTGATGAAGCGTCTTGGAAACCGAATTGAGAGTGGTTGGCCATGGTAAGAGTTGGGGCGTACTGGGTTTTCACCTGTAATTTAGTCTTGACAAGGCTATGTAATTGTTTTACTAACGTCCCTTGGATAAGAAAGAAGCATAGGTGGTTTATGCGGTTGGCTTGAAACCAACATATGGAGGTTCGATTCCTTCCTTTCTTGTGTTTGGACAAAGGCTGGTTCTTCGAAGGTATGGTAGGGAGGTGGGCAGCCGTGGATTCATTCAATATTAGTGCTTGTCAGTTCTGGTTGGAAGGCTTTACGTTTTGATGCGAAGGCTTCTCAGATAATGAAGACTAACATGATTACGGCTGTGAGGGAAATAAGGGAACCTACGGAAGAGATGGTGTTTCACATTGTGTAGGCGTCTGGGTAGTCTGAGTATCGTCGTGGTATTCCTGCTAGGCCTAGGAAGTGTTGGGGGAAGAAGGTTAGGTTTACTCCTACGAATATAACTCCGAAGTGGATTTTAGCTCATGTGGAGTGTAGGGTGTAGCCAGTGAATAGGGGGAATCAGTGTGTAAAGCCTGCTAGGATAGCAAACACTGCACCCATGGATAGAACGTAGTGGAAGTGGGCAACTACGTAATAAGTGTCATGTAGAGCAATGTCTAGAGAGGAGTTAGCAAGGACGATTCCTGTTAGGCCTCCGATGGTAAATAAGAAGATGAAGCCTAGGGCTCACAGTATTGGAGGGTCTCATTTGATAGTCCCTCCGTGAAGAGTTGCTAGTCAGCTAAAGACTTTGATGCCGGTTGGGATTGCAATGATTATGGTGGCGGATGTGAAGTATGCTCGGGTGTCTACATCCATTCCTACTGTGAATATATGATGGGCTCATACGATAAATCCTAGGAATCCGATGGACAGCATAGCTCATACCATTCCTATGTAGCCGAATGGTTCTTTTTTCCCTGCGTAGTAAGCTACGACGTGGGAAATAATTCCGAATCCTGGTAGAATTAGGATGTAGACCTCTGGGTGACCGAAGAATCAGAATAGGTGTTGGTACAGAATAGGGTCTCCTCCTCCTGCTGGGTCGAAGAATGTAGTGTTTAGGTTGCGGTCTGTGAGGAGCATGGTAATACCAGCGGCAAGGACTGGGAGGGATAGGAGAAGGAGGACTGCAGTAATTAGGACTGATCAGACGAATAGGGGGGTTTGATATTGTGAGAGGGCGGGAGGTTTTATGTTAATTGCTGTTGTGATGAAGTTGATGGCCCCTAGGATGGAGGAGATACCTGCTAGGTGGAGGGAGAAGATGGCTAAATCCACTGAGGCTCCGGCGTGGGCTAGGTTGCCGGCTAGGGGGGGATAAACAGTTCATCCTGTTCCAGCCCCTGCTTCTACGGTGGAAGAGGCTAATAGAAGGAGGAAGGATGGAGGTAGGAGTCAGAAGCTCATGTTGTTCATCCGAGGGAATGCTATGTCTGGAGCTCCGATTATGAGGGGGACTAGTCAGTTGCCGAATCCTCCAATCATAATTGGTATAACTATAAAGAAAATTATGACGAAGGCGTGGGCAGTGACGACCACATTATAAATCTGGTCGTCTCCAAGGAGGGCGCCGGGTTGGCCTAATTCTGCTCGAATTAGGAGGCTCAGGGCGGTTCCTACCATTCCGGCTCATGCGCCGAAGATTAGGTAGAGAGTTCCGATATCCTTGTGGTTGGTTGAGAATAGTCATCGGGTGATAAAAGTCATAGGTAAGATGGCTGAGTGTAAAAGCGTTAGGCTGTAGTCCTTTTTACAGAGGTTCAATTCCTCTTCTTATCGGCTCTGTAGTGAAGTTCATGGTGAGTTGCAAGCTCATCGATGTACATTGATTGTGTGCCGGGGCCTTAGGTAGAGGCCTGCTGGTTTGGGCATATAGCTGTTAACTATAGTATTATGGGATCGAGGCCCATCTATCTAGGGGGTGTGACAAGGTCCTAGCTTAATTAAAGTATCTGGGTTGCATTCAGGAGATGCAGGATAGTACCCTGCGGACTTTAACAGAAACTAAGAGGGTCTAACTCTTGTTTAAGGCTTTGAAGGCCTTCGGTTTAAGTAATCCTAAGTTTCTTAAATGATGGTGGGTAGTATGGGGGAGAGTGGTAGGAGGGTGATGGAAAGGGTAATCAGAATGGCAGTAATGATGCTAGTTGGTTTGTTGGTGTGTCATAGTTTGATGTGGTTTGTGGTGTGAGGAGGAAGTGTGATTGTTGCACAGTACGCTAGACGTAGGTAGAAGAATAGGCTGAGTAAGGAGAGAAGGGAGATAATTGTTGCTGCTAGGGCTATTTCTTGTTTAGTTAGTTCTTGGATGATAAGTCATTTGGGTAGGAAACCTGTTAAAGGTGGGAGGCCGGCTAGGGATAGGAGTGCTAGAAGAAGTATAGCATTGAGAGAAGGAGTTTTTGTTCAGGCGGTTATTAGTGATGGTAACTTTGTAACTTTTATTGTGTTTAGGGTAAGGAATACTGTGGCAGTCATTAGGCTGTAGAGATAGAAGTTGAGTATTGTAAGTTTTGGGTTAAAGGCGATGATGATGGCCATTCATCCTAGGTGGGAGATAGAGGAGAAGGCTAGGATTTTACGGATTTGTGTTTGGTTGAGTCCTATTCACCCTCCCAGTGCTGTGGATATGATGGCCATGAGGGTCAGTAGGGTGGGATTTAGGGAGTGGGAGGTTAGGAAGAGGAGTGTTAGTGGAGGAAATTTTATAGCTGTTGAAAGGAGGAGACCGGTGAGCAGTGAGGACCCTTGGAGAACTTCTGGAAATCAGAAATGGAATGGGACTAATCCTAATTTTATTGCGATAGCTGAAGTCAAAATTACGGAGGAGGTCGGGTGGGTTAGTTGAGTGATGTCTCATTGTCCGGTATGTCATGCGTTAGTTATGCTTGAGAATAGCACTAGAGCTGAGGCGGCTGCTTGAACTAAAAAGTATTTAGTTGCTGCTTCGATTGCTCGGGGGTGATGGGATTTTGCGATTAAAGGGAGGATGGCTAGTGTGTTGATTTCAAGGCCGGTTCAGGCTATGATTCAATGGTTGCTTGAAATTGTGAGAGTTGTTCCTAGGGCTAGGCTAATGGTGAAAATCAGTTTTGCTTGGGGATTCATTAGTAGGGGAAGGAGTTGAACCATCATTTTCGGGGTATGGGCCCGATAGCTTATTTAGCTTACCTTACTAGAAAATAATATAAAGGAAGTATGAAGGATTTTGATTCCTTCTGTGCAGGTTCAATCCCTGCTTTTCTAATTCAGGAAATGAGAGGGTTGGTGTACCTCCATGTTCACTTTATCATAGTGACCCTTAGGTTCAGGCACATTTCCTTATGGTTATAGATAGGGGGGTAAGCCTGCGTAGCAGACTGGTAAGCTGGTGTGTCATAGGCAGAGGGCTAATGTCAGAGGAAGGAAATTTTTTCATAGGAGGTGCATAAGCTGGTCGTATCGGAATCGTGGGTAAGAGGCGCGAACTCACAGAAAGCCTGCGGATAGGAGTAGGACTTTAGTAGCCAGGATTATGGGGAAGAGTTCTTGAGGGGGGTGGAGGAGGCTTGGGTTGAAAAATAGGATGGCGGTGAGGGTGTTCATGAGTATAATGTTGGCGTATTCTGCTAGGAAGAATAGGGCGAAGGGTCCTGCTGCATATTCCACGTTGAAGCCTGAGACTAGTTCTGATTCTCCTTCTGTTAGGTCGAATGGGGCGCGGTTTGTTTCGGCGAGGGTAGAGACGTATCATATTATGGCAAGGGGCCAGCAGGAGAAGATGAGGTATAGGGGTTCTTGGGTGACTGCGAGGGTGCTAAGGGTGTAGTTACCGCTGAGAAGAATAATAGATAGGAGAATGATTGCTAGGGTCACCTCGTATGAGATGGTTTGGGCTACTGCTCGGAGTGCTCCGATTAGGGCGTATTTAGAGTTGGAGGCTCATCCGGATCAAAGAATTGAGTATACTGCTAGACTTGACATAGTTAGTAGGAATAGTAAGCCTAGGTTAAGGTCTGCAAGGGAAAATGGGAGGGGTAGGGGGGTTCAAATTGAGATTGCTAAGAGAAGGGCTAGTATAGGGGTTGTGACGAATAGAATTGGGGATGAGGTTGATGGTCGGATGGGTTCTTTGATGAATAGTTTCACTCCATCTGCTAGGGGTTGAAGTAGTCCGAAAGGGCCTACAACATTGGGTCCTTTCCGACCTTGTATGTAGCTGAGGATTTTCCGTTCTACCAGGGTTAGAAAGGCTACGGCGATTAAGATGGGGAGAGCGTAGGAGAGGGTCATAATAAGATTGACTAGGAGGGGATGGTTGGCCATAGGTAAGAGGGGAAAGGAAGCTAGGGAGAGGATTTGAACCTCTGAGATAAAGGACTTAAGCCTTTTGCATTTGCCGAGCTCTGCCACGCTAGCTAGTCCTTTTCTGGGACGTGGTTGGTTGTGATAGCCTTTCGTAATTAGTTGCATTCATTACTTAAGGCGAAGGCTTGCTTGCAGTATTGGCCTCACTTTTCCGATCCTTTCGTACTGGGAAGAGCTCATCATAGATAGAAACCGACCTGGATTACTCCGGTCTGAACTCAGATCACGTAGGACTGTTAATCGTTGAACAAACGAACCCTTAGTAGCTGCTGCACCACTAGGATGTCCTGATCCAACATCGAGGTCGTAAACCTCCCCGTCGATATGGACTCTTGGAGGAGATTGCGCTGTTATCCCTGGGGTAGCTTGGTCCATTGATCAATTGTATTGGGTCTGGATGCTATTAGCACGTTGAGGAGTCGCTCTTAGTCTAGAGGTGTGGTCCAATTTTTGGAGGATTTGTTTTTCTCCAAGGTCGCCCCAACCGAAAAAATGCAGACCAGGGGCCTAATGAATAAGTGAGCCCGTATGGGGGGGTAAGTATTTAGGCGTGGTTGCTGTTTTTAAAGTTCCACAGGGTCTTCTCGTCTTATGGGGTTATTCCTGCTTTTGCACAGGAAGATCAATTTCACTGATCGCCTGTGAGAGACAGTTAAGACCTCGTTTAGCCATTCATACTAGTCTCGATTTATGGGACAATTGATTGCGCTACCTTTGCACGGTTAGGATACCGCGGCCGTTTAACACGAGGTCACCGGGCAGGCATCACCTTCAATACTTGTCTGGGGTTTGCTGAAGGCTATGTTTTTGGTAAACAGTCGGGCCTTGACGTTTGCCTAGTTCCTTTCACAGGTTTTAATCTTTCTTACGGACGCTCCTCTGTCGGGTTAACAAGTTGTTTAATACTATGCTTGTTGGATTAGTCGTATATGGGTGTCTTGTTAATAATGTATTGATGTAAGCTTGCGTCGTAGAGGGAAGATCCCTAGTTACTCATTCTAGCATTAATTCTCCTATTCATATAGGTTAGCCTGTTAGTGGGGAGGGAGTCGTAGGATTAACATATTTTTCATAGTAGGAGCTTTGACGCACTCTTTGTTGATGGCTGCTTGAAGGCCCACAGTAAGTTCTACACTAGTGTACTTATCCGCTCGTAGAGATTGTACTCTTTTTTAAAGGAGCTGTACCCCCTTTAAATAGCCCTTAATTCGCTTCATTAGGGTTCGTGGAGTTCCTTGGAGGAGAATTAAGAGTGAACTTAAATTCGTCTCACAGGCAACCAGCTATCACCCAGCTCGGTTGGCTTTTCACCTCTACTGACAAGTCATCCCACTCTTTTGCAACAGAGACGGGTTCGCTCATGTTAGCTGCTCGTAAGTAGCTCGCTTGGGTTTCGGGGTGGCAAGCTTCAATTCGTTTTGCTTGGTTTTTCTTGCTAGACCATGATGCAAAAGGTACAAGGGTTGATCTTTGCTGTTTTTGGCTTATCTTTTTTCATTATTATTTCATCTTTCCCTTACGGTACGTGCTCTCTATCGCGCCGATGGTATCTTTTCTATCGCCTATACTGGGATTAGTAAATGCTTTAGTTGTTTATGTCTAAGTGGCTTTGTTATTCCAGGTCAATGTGTCTCGGGCTAGGGCTGGGCCTCAAGACGATCTGATGTTAGCAGACATTTTTCAGGTGTAAGCTGAATGCTTTTGTTTAAGCTACGTCTTGGTAGTCTAAGTGCACCTTCCGGTACACTTACCTTGTTACGACTTACCTCATCTTTGGCTGAATAGCTTATTAGTTATGGGGAGGGGGTCGCCTTTGAGGAGGGTGACGGGCGGTATGTACGTGCCCCAGAGCCGGCTTAAAGAGGGCTCGATGGTCCCACTTTACTGCTAAATCCGCCTTCGAGAGACAGTTTCATGTCCCTTTGCCGTGATGTTCTATACTAGAAAATGTAGCCCATTACCTCCATTCCATAGGCTATACCTTGACCTGTCTTACTAGCGGGTTAGGCTATTGCGCTCACTGTTGAACCTTCAGATGGGTGGGCTGGCGACGGCGGTATATAGGCTGACTGGCAAGAAATGGTCGGGTATAACGTGGATCATCGATTATAGAACAGGCTCCTCTAGGTGGGTTTGGGGCACCGCCAAGTCCTTAGAGTTTTAAGCGTTTGCGCTCGTAGTTCTCGGGCGGATGCTTGAGTTGATTAAAGCACCAAGATTTAGGGCCAGGCATAGTGGGGTATCTAATCCCAGTTTGGGCCCTGGCTTTCGTGGGTTTTAATTGATCGTTAGTCTAAGGTCTTCTTTTTGGGGGTGGCCTTATGAGCATCTTGGGCTTGTGACAACTCAGTTGCTTTTTAACCTTAGTTACTTTGATAGCATATTACCACGCTTTACGCCGTTATAAAGTTGACTTGGGTCTCTTGTATGACCGCGGTGGCTGGCACAAGATTTACCGACCCTGAGTTGCTATGGCTAAGTCAAGTTTTCACTCATTGCTTAATATTAACTACTGCTGAGTACCCGTGGGGGCGTGGCAAGTGCAAGGCGTTTTGGGCTACGGGGGGGGGTGTGAGCCTGATACCCGCTCCTACCGACCTGAGTGACAGGCACCGAGGGCATCTACACTGGGGCGCGGATACTTGCATGTATATTCCTAGCAACAACCAACAGTAAGGTTAGGACTAAGTCTTTTGTCTTTGGGTGCGTGAAGCATCCGTCTTGACATCTTCAGTGTCATGCTTTACCTTAAGCTACAAAAAC